AAGTTTGATCAGCTGAGTGAAGGCTTTTTGCTCCAGATGGCATGGACTACCGGCCCGTTCTCTAATCTGGCGTGTATGTTTTGAATTTATAGAAAATCTATATGTATCAGAGTACGAGTGAAAGTAGCCCATTGTACACGTGACTTACAGTACGGTGAGACGAACATGAAAAACGCCGGCTCAGCGTGATCAACAATCGTGAATTACACATGTATGGCAGGAATTCTGGCAAACTCCAACTAGAAAGCTAAGATTTTTGTTATACCGCAAGAACATAAATTAAGATGGGTGGAGAACGCATAGGATTCGTTCCTCGTTCAAGAAAAGATTGCATATGTTCCGCGAAATATACCATAATTTGGTTTTCATGGGAGGCTCAACGAAATTCAGCTGAATCTCACGTTTATGGTGTTCGTCAATTGAATGTGTTGAACGAAGGCCACCGAAATTCAGCTGAATCTCACGTTTATGGTGCTCGTCAATTGAATGTTTTGAACGAAGGTCACCTTATGTTTGCGTTGGTACGATAATCGATATATCGCACTATATTTTCTTGAAGGAACTTGCCCATCCATAAAAACCAAACTGGTACGCAGACAAGTGTATTTTGCGAATTTCGTACAATTTGGGTTCACTTAGAGCATAAGTTTGACAGGAAATTGTGGACCGTGACCACCTTATGAGCCACAAGTAGGGCGAGGTACTGGGTACCAAACTGGTACGCAGACAAGTGTATTTTGCGAATTTCGTACAATTTGGGTTCACTTAGAGCATAAGTTTGACAGGAAATTGTGGACCGTGACCACCTTATGAGCCACAAGTAGGGCGAAACCGGTACTGGGTTGTCGGGCAGTTTCCTTCAATGAATGAATAAGGCTTAACAGACCAGATATCACCTGGTAATTCATTAGAGAGGGGTGTGTAGAGTCAAATGTGTTTCGTAAATGTAAAAGGCAACAAACGATCCCGACAGGTCAGTTTGTACAGCACACATCCGGTAACTGAGGGTTCAGTTATGCGAGTTACGTCTTTCCATTGCTAATGCATGTGCGATGGCTTCACATTCCCAAAACCTACCACCACAGTTTAATTTCCGGCACGAAATAATCAAGCCATAGTCGAGGGAAAATGCCCACTTAGAAACCAAAATTACGGTACGAAAAACCTGTTTTCAAGACACTTTTGCCAGCATAAATGCAGTTATTAGATGAATGCACTTTTCTTTTCTGTTGCGGCTGAGCGTTCTCAACTGAAGAGCTAATATTTCCCGAACGATCGGAAGGATAGCATAGGAAGTAGTGTGGCGGAACGGTACAAAAGGGATCCATCGAGCTGTAGTTTTTCTGATCACGCGCTATGCCGGTTTCCATTTTCGTCTATAATTTAGCTGTGAGCTCTCCCCCCCCCCAAAAAAAAAAATAATAAAAAGAACACCATGGAATCAAAAGCTTCAACTGATCGTAACCCTTTTCTACAAAAGAAAGTCGTTCCCATTCCATACTAATATCCTTCTACCTGGTTTGTTGTTGCAGTCGTCATCGATTCAACAGATCTGTCAGTCAGATTCAAAGTTTGACCGTTGTGACGCAGATCAGCTGGCCAATTCAGATTGCCGGTCCATCTGTAGGTACTTTAGGTCCTTGGAGGATCTAATCGTATATGGCAGATAATCTTGCTTTAGAATTTCGCGGGTTCACCTACCAAGGAATTTTTTCAAATATTTCTTGAATGAACGACGTACTTCCGTCGAACCTTCAGACTTCCGTAAAACTCTAATGGGGTGATTTTCGTCAAACTATTTCGGCAACAAACGTACTATTGCACCATTTTCCTTTCAAAATATTATCCATAATCAATGCAGCAAATATTGCGCCGTTCCACCGTGCTAACCAACATTCCCGTGGGCGTAGTTTCGTCAGAAATCGAAACAGCGACCAAATTCAGTGCAACTTCGTTAATGGAATGTAGTGCATGATTTCGAGTGGGTGCAGTCTTTTGGGGACCGTTGCTATTGCCTTGTATCACCAACTGGTTGTTGGTTTCAGGAGTGCAATCATGACTTTCATCTTGTGCTGACCGCATGAGAATCAATCCCAAAAATAATTTAGATAGATGAGATTCAGAGTAATCCAGTGGTGTGACACTTCACAAGCAGCTTCGAGCTACCGGAGTTGGATGCGATATCTTGAAGCCAATTAATAATCCGAGCACACTATGGTATGGGGGCGCTGGTCTTAGATTCACAATTCCCACGCATTTGCCGCCAGTGTGGCGATAAGGTCGTCGGTCGATCTCCCAACCAAGCCAAGCGTCTAATTCTCAACGATCCATTCCGTTCTTCGTGTTGTTGGCCTCGGTGAGAAATTTCAGGAGGCAGTCTTCGCCGTCAACATCATCTCATCTACTATCATTGCCATTCTCACCGCCATAACCCTCAACCCTATCATCGTACATAGTAAAGACGACAGTAAAATGCCTTCGATTGTGCATCAGTTTGGTATCGATAGGGGACTCAGATAAATTCTAAATGAAACTCTCGTTTATGATATTATTTACCCGAGCGTGCTGTACAAGGGCCGTTCCATGTTTTAGTTGATAAGATATTCGAGGTATCATGGAGCATTTTTCTGGGCAAACGACTCAAAAGGTTGCGGAAAACTCTTCCATAGTCCACAATCTTTCTCCCGGCTCTTAAGACTAATAAAGAGTACGCAGTTTCCGTCAATCTCATGTTCTGATTCAACCCAACCTGTACGAAATTCACGCAATGCACCAATTGGATCTGAAACACAGTTACTTGAAGAGATTCAACTGGGATTCAGTTGAGTCTACCGTAAAAGCCATACTGGTGTACAACTTGGTGTATTTCACGAATTTCGTACAAATTCAACTCCATTAGAACATAGGTTGACAGAAACTAGGGGACTAGGTCTCCTTGGTGAGCCTCAAAATGGGCGAAGTGGGTCGGGGTCTGTAGATGAGTTTTCAGCAACCTACTGGATAGGTTGCTTCAAGGAAAATCAGCACTTATCGGGTTTATCATACTTCGTATTTGCAATTTGATTTGGACAGATCGACCACCACTGAACCACAGAAACAGTAAATGATATGAGGGGAGGTAAATTCAACTGGTTCAGATAGAACTGCAGTCGTCAAACAATACTGAGTTCTTTCCTTACAATAACGCTAAACTAGATTGTTTCCTTTAACAGGCGGCTTGTTGAAGGGAAAGCAACTGATTGTCTGCATAGAAATATTGTGTAGATGAATGTAGAAGGGTAAAATATCAATGTAGGGTTAAACGATAGACAAAAAATTAAAAGAAAATCAAATCAGCTTAGTAGCGACAGTGTTTCAGGAAACAGAATTGGTGCGCCATTTTGGCTTTGTATTCTTTGTACTTCGTCAAAGCTTCAGGCAGAACCGGAATAAGGAGTAATCCTTAGATGAAGAATATGGTGTGCCCAACCAGAGATTTTTACCGATTCTCTTTTGAGTACATTTTGCCCCCAAGTTGTAGCAGCTGCTACTTGTGATGTACGCTAGATCAGATCAGACTTCTCCCAAATGTCGATCCTGATAGCCATTCCACTTCAAACAGAATTGTATGCATACAGTCGTGTCGGATAAGGACCACACCGTTTACGTATTTACATTTTTAGTGTTGTCATCCCCGGTAACCAAGTGGGTGCTGTCACGTACAGAACAAAAATTGAGTACCTAGCCTAAAGGCCGGTTGAAATGCAACAAACTGCTCGTCAGTAAGCACGGTCAAGTGTGATACATTTCATGTTTCCTAGCCACAACAACGCAGACAAGCCAGAAAGCTCGAGAGGCCGTGTTGATAGTGGATGCTAACTTGCAACGTCATGCATTCTGTTCAGTTAATATTTCGTTAACTGAAGGCAGGTGATGGTTGACATAAAAACCGGTGTGGCCCCTTTACACACTAACATATCCATGATGACAAAAATGACGATGATGATGATGATGTGAAGGAACCTATGCTCAAGTCGCTCGCAAGGTGAAGCAAGGGTGAAATTTGCTTTAGATGGGGTCGAAGTACATTTGGACGGCACCTGAGACGCCAACTTGTCACACTTCTACCTCAACTTGAGGTTTGCTTTAGGAAGTATTCCCATCGTAAAAAAAACTTGTGAACGTCACTTCAGCAGAATATTTCCTTTATTTTTTCACTTCATGCACAAAGCGAAGTTGGTGTCTGGGTTAATTCAAATGCTCTTTAAGGTACCGTATCATCTTTTCCTACAACAGCACCAGAAAACGATGAGTCCACTCACCCCCACTTTTCAATATATTGACTGTCGAACAAGTAATTCGTCCAACACTAATGAAAAATTCAATGGCTGCAAAGCCGGTAGTCCTTCAACAGCCTTGACTAAAGCAGTCTTTGTGCTCTTTTCATAAAGGAAACTATTCACAAGGTTGCTGAAAACTATTCGACAGCCCACGACTGGTTTCACTTTTCTTGGGTTTCATCAGGTAGGCGCAGTCTCCTAGTTCCCATCAACCTTATGTGCTATTTTCAGTGACCTGAAAAGGTTATTTTATTCCAGCTCATCTAAAAAGTTAGTTGTGATATCCACTGATGATGATTATTCCAAGTAAAGAATCATTTCTCAGAAACTGTCTAATACAAAGCGACTTCTGGTTTATTTTCTCATTCGGGCACTAAAATAACCGGTAAGCGTTTGCTAATGAACCCTATGCTATTTCACTTGTTCACCACCTGTCCTGTAAACGGTTTCCAAAAGATGTTCCATGAAAATGCCGCAAATACGGAAAGCAGTACCCGCTCTCAGTTGACACATTCTAAACCTCTTCACAGTGTCCTTTTATCCTGGGATATGTATTGTGCCATACTATATAAGATGGCTTCGGCTAGTGCATCCTGATAACACGTGAGTGGCTAAGTTTAATTGGTTGTTCATGAAAATCGATAATGTGCGATCTCCATTTGATAGTATAACCTTGAGGAAGTCTGAAGCATACACGTAGCACAAACTGTCAGCACTGTCGTGAGTCACGGTGACAAAAGGGGACCGAATGAAAGCTTGTACTTTTGTATTGCTCCTGAGTTTGTGTGAACTGGTGACGGGAGACAAGTTTGGGTCTAAAGACAGTGAATTCCGGACAAGTACGATCGTCCTTCTTATTGTTGGAATCGTCCTTGGCGTTTCTCATATTATTTGCTGGTCAGTATCATGCGTCAAAGCTATAAAGTGAGTTTTGAACTTTTTGTTGGTTAGCTCTCAAGCTGTGTGAAACACTTAGGTCGTATTATCCCGCATATGCCTTTCCTTCCATGCAACCTGCATTTTATCATAGATTGAAAATTTTTCTAGCTCAATCGAGAGTTGCATATCTCTTCCCTTATTGAAACGGATCAGCAAATTCATGACAAACGTGGTATCCGAACTCTTTCAGTAAATACAGATAGTGACTCTCCTCACTGGCAATTCTGACCATAGGTCTGGCATCAAGCCCAATCTTATTATCATCTCACAGCAGTCGCGTGCATCCTAAACACTCATTTCTACTCATAGAACTATCCTGTGTGTCCATCAGGGATAAAGGCAAGTGTTTGTAACAGACAACGTTGTTTTTACTACCCGCAACGTTCGACGAAGATGCACATAGGATGCTGACAACCGCAATGCATTTACATACTAAATGAGAGTTCTTGTGCAACAAACACAAACAGTGTTTCGGATAAAACAAGTTTTGAGTTTGTTGTGAGTAGTTTCGATATCCGCGGAGTTAGCATTCGCGTCATCTCCGTTTGAACGGTCCTCTTGCCGTTCTGGTGCAAGGAGACAAGCGAGTTCATACCAGAGGGGGGGGAGAACTGGATTCGAGTGTTTCTTTTCAAGAAAACCTATCATATCCTTGGTCTTGTCGGTTCTCGAACTTCGGACATCTGAAATGCGTGGTGAACTTGTTCAGGCTACTACTCCACTGCGCACGCTCAACTCACCTGAATTATCACGTTTCGGCAGGTTAACGTTTAAGCGATGTGACTGATCTACCCTGTACCTTGTAACCACCGTCAACTAACCAAGAAGTGTCCAACAGGCCTCAGATGTTATTGGTTCCAACTGCCTAGGAAGTCCTCACAGTTGAGTCGACCCTCGCACGCATCCGAGACAGTTTCATAGTCACCGTTCGAGGTGTTGAATAAACCAGTCATGCTGTTGAAATGTAGACAGGTTCGCCTGTGCAGACGTGATATTCAGGTGTATCCAGCGTTCGCCAGTGGGCTGGTAGTAACACGCTCTGTCGCATATCAGAGATCCGGATTACAAATGCCCACCCGGTCTAGGATACTCATTACTGATGAGCTGCGATAAAAGCGGAACTCGAGTTTATTGCCCTCTACTTCAGTGTTCTGATGGGCTCACTAGATATCTGCGCCAAATTGGGAGAACTACCGTTCAAATGCGAGTATCATATTTATTCAGCACGACTGAAAAATGTAAGCGCATTCTTATAGAAAATCAGCTGGATTCCGTTGACCTCGGATTCGTAGATGACAGCTGTCGACTTGCTATGTCGAGGTTCACCACAAGTACGTCCAAGCGGCTCCATTCTGATTCGCTGTTCGTTCTCTCTCCGGTAACTTTTAGGTTAACTGTTCAGTGTTGCAGAAGTGACAGACAGAGAAGTCTCATCAGAGCCAGCAACAGAGCTACCACAATCACACATTACGAGCCCACAATACAATGTTCCTGATGAAGTTACCCGGTGCGCTACTTCACTTTAACCGTGCCAGGGTGGAACGCAAGGTAATGCGTAGAATCTCTCGATAATAATAATGGGATTGAAACGTGACTTTTCCAGCCATTATCGTTAGAGTAAACCTATCAAATCTGAAATGCGGTTCCAGGAAGTACCTTATACTGGTCATTGTCGCCATCGTCAACAACATCTTCATTGCTGTTATCAGCGTTAAAACCGGTGTTTTACTCCCCTTCCACTATGACAGTTTAGTTAGACGAACCCTACAATGGGAGGTAGCGAACTAGGAGGGGGCATCGTTCCTCACACTGGTGTAGCATTTACATTTGGGTTCATATAAATCCCAAAACCCATCGAGACAATCTACGTGAAAAGTGATAGTCTTAACGCAATAGGTAATCGTCTACAGCCATATTTTGTGGTGTCTCTAGTGCGGAAAAGCGAGCGGCACAGATAGCAGCCAATCAGTTATTTCCTGGAGGGATGTATTTTTCATTCTGTGGTTGTCAAAGCCCAGCAAACAATCTTCACTCAACCGTTAGCTGTGTGTTGAGCCATTGGTACCTCGGGTGTTTTAACAGGTTCGTGCTCAGGTGGCTACTGGCTTACCCGCTGAGCTTGGCAGTGGGCTTGCTATCTTCCTACAAAGATACCATCACTGTGCCTTTGGGGTTGCATGTCACTGATCAAAGAAGGGGAGACGTCGGTTGAACGCAGTTAAGTGCGAAAGATATGCAAAGGGATCATTTACACCCCATTGTGAGGGAATATTTTGACCAATCGAGGACAATTGCTGGAAAATCGGATGGGTGCACCACCTGCAGAAGCATCGAACCAACCAGCAACGGAAGGACAAGGTCACCGATAAACAGGAGAACAAGTTGGGGAATGAACAGATTCCTGGTCTGTATGCATCTCAGGAAGAGTAGTGTCAAGAAGTACCTGATTCCACCTGTTTGTCATTAGGTTACAAACCTGTTCAATTGTCCACACACTAGCAGTTTGGCAATCAGGCTGTTTTGTCACGGCTGGTCGAAAGAATTCCAGACGTCAAGACCGTCTCACGAAAAGAGTACATGCAGATGAACATATATGTGATACGTTTTTCAGAAAGTGGCCAGCACAGGATGGTGCCTGGGTGTCGTTTTCCAGATCACGTAAAGGTTTTACGGCCGAGATATAATCTGGAACATCTGACAAAATAGGATTGATGTAAATTTGACGATGGGCGTCCGAGTCAGACAAGGAGGTATGTTTGGCAATGGACAGTAGTTATGACCTGAATCGAGCAAATGAAACTGAAGGGAAAAGGATGGAAAAGTCGAGACAGAATCGATGGTAGTTGTGGAACACTGGTACAGGATAAAATAGTGGGAATACCATTCACACCAGGAGGCTTAATTATTTAGTGAAAAGCCCTGGGTAATGGACATCAACTAGGAGCATTAGGCCAGTCTGAAACGGAGCTTGAAGGGAGAAAATGGTAGGGTTTGAAACAATCTGGAGTTCTGTTAAATATGTGCGTTCAGGTTTAGGTCTGATTTAAGAATAAAAGGACAGATGGAACACAGTAATATAATCCTCTGGGTTTCGCAAGACTACTGAATTCCGGTAGGGCTGTTTGTAGATTAGTCACGCTATCCACAGACAAGTATATCGTTATCCCTGTCAATAATGGCAGTACAAGAATGGCAGACAACAAGTCAGTCCAAACGAGCTAAAGCGAAAGGGTGAAAAACCGGATTTCCTATAGAGGAAAATTTCGATAGTTTAGGTAGCGTAGATGGTCGATGGCTTGTTCGCTGAGTAGGGCATTTGGATTGCAAACATTTCATCACCAATGAAGGTAACATCATCACTGCGTTATTAGGGAGCGTAGTGGCGCGTAGCGATGGGTTGCTGGTTGTGTGGGGTTCCTAGTAATGTATGATATAATCAGAAGAGAGGGTAAGGGTCACCCGAGTTTGGGAAAATAAGGTATAAATTCGAGCAGTCCGTTATTAATGATACTTGTGGGGCTCTCAATGCAAATCGTAGGGTCGTTAAAGGTGTGCCCTGGGGAACAAGTTGAGAGGCTTTGTCGTTTCAGTCAGCAGGGGATTGTCAACAAAATGCATGAGAGGAGTAACTGTGTTATAAGTGTTGGGAGTTGAAATGGAACAAGTATTATTGACACAGTCGCCGGAAGAGCTGATGGGCGCATGGGGATCAACTCTGCACGATAAAAGATGAGTGGTTAGAATGAGCAATGAGCAAGAGTCGCGGGCTGGAATTAGGGTGGAAAAAGCGAACCTCAAACAAGGAGCTCCTAGTAAAAATCGCCCTTGTGGCCGTCTGCACCCGTGTGAGGTTAGGAGTTGTTCAAACAGGTTTGTGCCCATTGAAATTACCAAGGGCTCAGAAGACTTAACAGGTATTATCGGTTTTGAATAAGCGTCATACACAACAAAGTTAGTACTTCTGTTAAGCCAGCTGATGAGACTTTCGAGCAAAAATTTTGAAAATAAGACGAAAAATAGTCTTAGGGGTTATTGTAAAGACAGAGAAAGCGGGGAGATGTAGACAAAACCCGCACTTAAAATGGAAGCGATGATGTAAGGATGTGTAAGGAAAAATGTTTGGAGCTGCGGCCAACAGTTTTCTTGTTTATGGAGGTGGACGTAAGACTCCCGTGTAGCACTTCTCAGGACGGTATTCCGGTAGGGCTGTTTGTAGATTAGTCACGCTATCCACAGACAAGTATATCGTTATCCCTGTCAATAATGGCAGTACGAGAATGGCAGACAACAAGTCAGTCCAAACGAGCTAAAGCGAAAGGGTGAAAAACCGGATTTCCTATAGAGGAAAATTTCGATAGTTTAGGTAGCGTAGATGGTCGATGGCTTGTTCGCTGAGTAGGGCATTTGGATTGCAAACATTTCATCACCAATGAAGGTGACATCATCACTGCGTTATTAGGGAGCGTAGTGGCGCGTAGCGATGGGTTGCTGGTTGTGTGGGGTTCCTAGTAATGTATGATATAATCAGAAGAGAGGGTAAGGGTCACCCGAGTTTGGGAAAATAAGGTATAAATTCGAGCAGTCCGTTATTAATGATACTTGTGGGGCTCTCAATGCAAATCGTAGGGTCGTTAAAGGTGTGCCCTGGGGAACAAGTTGAGAGGCTTTGTCGTTTCAGTCAGCAGGGGATTGTCAACAAAATGCATGAGAGGAGTAACTGTGTTATAAGTGTTGGGAGTTGAACTGGAACAAGTATTATTGACACAGTCGCCGGAAGAGCTGATGGGCGCATGGGGATCAACTCTGCACGATAAAAGATGAGTGGTTAGAATGAGCAATGAGCAAGAGTCGCGGGCTGGAATTAGGGTGGAAAAAGCGAACCTCAAACAAGGAGCTCCTAGTAAAAATCGCCCTTGTGGCCGTCTGCACCCGTGTGAGGTTAGGAGTTGTTCAAACAGGTTTGTGCCCATTGAAATTACCAAGGGCTCAGAAGACTTAACAGGTATTATCGGTTTTGAATAAGCGTCATACACAACAAAGTTAGTACTTCTGTTAAGCCAGCTGATGAGACTTTTGAGCAAAAATTTTGAAAATAAGACGAAAAATAGTCTTAGGGGTTATTGTAAAGACAGAGAAAGCGGGGAGATGTAGACAAAACTCGCACTTAAAATGGAAGCGATGATGTAAGGATGTGTAAGGAAAAATGTTTGGAGCTGCGGCCAACAGTTTTCTTGTTTATGGAGGTGGACGTAAGACTCCCGTGTAGCACTTCTCAGGACGGTAGTGTGGAACATTTACCAACTACAGCCATCTAGCACGTCACCCACACGTCATCTTTGGATTGTAATGCTTGGATTGTAATGCCACTAAGTTTTTAGTTTCTAGTTAACGCCTGTAAGCCTAAACGACTGGTCGATTGCAGTTTAAGTGAACTGGGGTACGGTGATAAAATAATCGGAACAGCTGGGTTGATAGAGAAGACGTTTCACAGCCGAAGATTTTAAATGTAATTGCGAAGTTCGGTTGAATGAAGGAGGGTCCTGTCGATCCTGAGTATATATTCAAAAGGTAAACTAATTTCCATTCTTCTCTTTATTAAACTAGGTAATCAATTTGAACCACGAATAAGACCTATCCCATCCTTTTTCCCCGCGTATTAGAGACCGTGCAGCCATCAAACAACGGAATAAGATTATTCGTCAAGCCACGGAATTTAAACGAGCACCTCACAACTTTATATTGTCAAAGTTTTCCCAATTACATGGTTCACTGCGAAGTAGCAAAACGACTTTGTCGTCATCGGATTGGAAACCCGGCTTTCTAAGACAGACAAAAAGAAGTTCGGACAGCTATTGGCTTAGTCACCCAGAAGTGTTTTTTGACGACATGCACAGCCACCAGTTTTCCGCGTCCACTTTCGTTGCGCTTTCTGATCCCCAATGGTATCGAAATGCTCGGAATATACTCCAGCTGGGTGAAGAAGGAGCTGGGGAACAACTTTCACAAACTTCGTCAACTAACAGAAACCCTCTTCCAGCTACTCAAACTGTCCCAATGCCATCTACGCACCTGTCTTCATCGAATGCCCGTCACGCAAACTGGAAAGCAGTTAAGCCCGATCAAGTGGACAGTGAACCGTCGTAAGTTATTAAACGTTGTCGTTGCTTTGTGGATTCGTCCGCTGGTGTTCCATCACAAGAGAAAATATGATCTTTATTTGGAAGCAGCTGTAAAAATCTGGGATCAAAACCTAGGTGTTACGTTGTAAAATCTTTCAAAATGGATCCTCATGCTCTTATACTTTCTAGTCCGACGTGTTTAAGCCTACTTCAAAGCAAAACTGATACAGAGACTCTCGGACAGGTAACGCGAAAGTTTTCAAATTATCATTCTCAGTCACATCTCATCGGGTAAATGAGGTAAGATAGAAAACCAGATTAATATACATTCGGTATGAAAACAGTACCATCCACCCAATCGGAGACAAAGGCGGTGTCACATTTTCACGTGTCTCTTGTTGCAAAGAGAGGGGTCGGCTGACCGAGCGGTGATTACTTCACTTCTTTCGAGCATTTGTTCTCAAATGATTTTCGACCAATTTTAGGGTACCCGATAGATTATAGTCCGGCCAGATTGGTTCGATGGTCTACACCAAGTAGATGGTTAACGATAGCACTTTTCATATGTCTGACCGCTCAGTTTTTTCCATAGAATCAAAAGTTTTCCTTGATTCTCTGGGATAAGCATCGTATTTGTACAACATTCACAAATAAATGAATATATAATCAGAGGGGAATCGTTGACCGGCCTTGTATTCTGGGGATTTCTTTTAAGCAGTCCGCCACTGCTGAAGTGTGTCCCCAGTCGTGCAGAATCAAACGTTCGCCCCCCACCCAAACAGGCAGCCAAGCACCAGAACATCTTTTCGGAGGCCTTATCACTCTTGTAGAGAGCAGCTGAAAGTACGCTGACCCTTATGCAACCGTGACGCTTTTTCCTCTGGCTAATGAATCTTTGATCAACTGCCACTGTACGAAACGCTATTGGTAATCATGAAAATTCTCCAGGCGAACTGCAGTTCAGCCCCTAGTTTTCCAGTTTTGCACATCGGCATACGGGGGCGAGAGGTCTAGTGCATCTATCTATTGCACGAACATTCCAAATATAGTTAGCGAACGCGACTGTGTTGTAGTCTGTGTGCATAGATGTTTACAGACAGCTGAAGTAATGTTTTAGCCGTCGGACTGTGGTGTATTCTTTGGGGCAGCTGGTAGCTGGCCTGGTTTATTCCTGATAGTTCATACATGCCAGAGATGGTTATACCATTGGACTTTGGTGAGTCATACTGCGCCTTATTTCCATGACAGTTATTTTTCAGACGCTTCGGAAACCTCATTATTTGACCTCCCCTTCTAGGCAGGTCTTCCTAGGCTTGGACGCTTTTAAGCGCAATAGAGTTTTCGTAACAAAGAGGGTTGTGACGATGTGGTTAACTTGCGTGCACTAGTTCTGTCTTCAGTTGGTGCATTCTGTCTTCGAATGTAGGGATAAACTAGCTAGTCTGGCGGAAAAAGTGCTCAAACTGAGTCTCTATCTCTAGCTAACCATAACTTTCCCACAGAAAACAGAATTCGGTGCCTAGATGCGGTACTACAAATAACGTAGCATATTAGGGAAATCATCTCAGTGTTAAAAAGTGGCCTCTAGCTTGTGAGAGCCTGATTAGATGATGGGAGTTTCGATGCCTAAGAGGGGCTGCACGGCTCGGAAACAAAACGGCCCATAGGAACACTGACCCCATTTAGACCACAAGGGGCCTGATCAACACCTGACAAATCTACTGAACCCGAAAACATAGACTAAATGGAACAAAAACGGACTGGCGACAGGGAACAAGTGATTCTGGGAGGTCATGCCGGTCTGTTAAGCTAGCATAACAGTGTTTTGCAAGCTCTTCTCAACCATTTTAGATATCGTTATTACTGCTTGCAGGTGGTCTGATACGCTTGTCTGATATGTGCGTCCAGACATTCATGGTCAGGCAAGACACAACCTGTCTATTGCGGCGCAACCGACACGAATCATCCGGTTCTGTAACACGTTACGTGGTTGCAATACCAGTGTGAAGATAAGTGATGAGGCAATTCACAGCAACTCAACAATGACCGACCTCCCAGTGGTCAATCATTTCATTGACTTTGGAATATTTCGTCCCCAAAATAGTAATTTCTTCTTGCTTCATACAGGAGTCTGTCTAGGTAGCTTATTCATGTGCAATCAATCGAATGAAGAGAGCTGAAGAGTATCATGCGGGTTCGCTCATCGTTCTGGTGCACTGTAACGAACGTCAAGGTTACAAATGTGTTTACTATTAAATACTTGTACCATTTGCTTCGGCTGTCCCATTACGTTGTCGAAGGCTGGTGATAAAACCCGAAGTCACCAATTTTTGGCTGACTTCTGTGTGTGTGAACACCCCGATTACAAAATATCTTTGTATCTTGCACGGTGTCCATTTATTGGGAAAGTTGGGCGTGTTTTCGACTATCAAAATTAGCCGGAATGTACCCCCTTAAAAAGCTGATCCCGTGAAACTGAAATACCAATTTCATGAGTATG